ATTCAGGAATTCATAAAATAAGGATAATATTTAGACACTACCAATATATAGCCTAAGTGTGTATATATATATATATATATATACATACACATACACATATATATGTATATGTTTATACATACACATCAAATTATATAGATTTATATCTATATCTATAGAGATCTATAGATAGAGAGCTATATCTGTATAGCTCTATAGATATAGATCTATAGATAGAGATCTATAGATATAGATCTATCTATCTATCTATCTATCTATATCTGGAAGCCTTGGATTCTTTCGTGGTGGTCCCATAGAGTAATGAGTATAAAGTTAAGGCAATGTTTGCAACTGGCTAAAAATTTCAGAAGAAGACTACAGGATTAGGTACTAGCAAAGGGCATGTTTCAGGTTCCTGGAATCAGTGGGAGCTCTTCTGTGGGGAGACACAGAATACCTTTTTCCCCTCTTTATGAAGCCTCTGCTCAGATCTGATAGTTTACCACAGAAAGATTTAAAAATCCCCATAGATTCCTTCCTCAAGCTTTGAATACTTGCTTTGTGTTTTCCAGAGGCCAAGGAAAAGATCCTGACAAAAACATGCTATGCTTATTAACACTTACCTTCATCAAGCATGCCAAAGAATCATGCGGTGGTGAGATCTTTAACATTAACTGCACATCACATTTCTTTCTTTTCTTTCTTTTTTTAGATCAGAGACCAAGACTTGATCTCTGTACCTGATGCTTTCACTCATTGGCTGGCGCTCTACCAACCAAGACACACCTCCAACCCCTGCACGTAACATTTCTAAAGGCTGGAAGTCTGGAAAGAGGGGCTAAGTATGTGAAAAAGGCTGTCTACCATATGTGTATTCAGAGAGTTTTTAATAAACGACTTCCTGAACTTTAGACAGTGTTATGCAATAAAAATATAATCCAAGCCAGGCGCCAGTGGCTCATGCCTGTAATCCTAGCCACTTATAAGACTCAGATCTGAGGAGTGAAGTTCAAAGCCAGCCCAGGGAGAAAAAAAAACACAAGGATGTGTTAACAGAAAGTAAAGAGAATAATTAAGTTAATGCCAACACATAGACATGATAGCCAAAAGCCATACATAAGCCTTGATTAGAATCCAGTGTATTATGGAGATTAACTGAAAACTTGAATATGGATTAGCTATTTGATAATGGGTCTTAGTGTTAGTGTTCCTAGGCAGGGGAACAGTATTATACTTAGGTAGGAAAGAGTCCTTATTCTTAAAAAGAATCATGCTAGTGGTACCAGTGGCTCATGCCTATAATCCTAGCTACTCAGGATGCTGAGATCTGAGGATCATGGTTCAAAGAGCCCGTGAGACACTGAGACTTTTTTTTTTTGCCTGTACTGAGGTTTGAACCCTGGGTCTTAGCACTGGTCCTATGTTCCTGAAGGCTAGTACCAGTTGAGCTACAGTGCCATTTCCGGCTTTTTCTGTGATGAATTGGAGATGAAAGTCTCACAGACTTTCCTGTCTGGGTTGTCTTCAAACCATAATCATCAGATCTCAGTCTCCTGAATAGGTAGGATTACAGGTGTGAGCCACTGGCGCCTGGCCCCTGTGAGACTCTTCCTCTAACCACCAGAAAACTGAAAGTACCATTGTGGCTCAAAGTGGTACAGTGCTAACTCTGAGTGAAAAAACTCAGGGACAGCGCCTTGAGTTCAAGCCCCACAACCAACCAGAAAAAAACAAACCAAAACAAACAAACAAAAAAACCTTTACATAGAAAGGCTATGTAGCCTCTACCTATCTAGCAAATATAGCAAAATGTTAAATACTAATTAAACAACATGGTATGTTTTTGAGTGCTCCATTAATCTTGTGGCTTTTTTGTGTATTTAGAAAATCTCATAATAGAAAGTTTATTCATGTTAAGGCTAAAAATAAAAAGTAGACATCAACATTCCATTTTACTAAGTTCCAACAAAATTTAGAAATCTTATGCTCCTATCTTCAATTAAACAGGAAAAAACGAAACAAAAATGGAAATGAGATGTGGCTCAAGTAGCAAAGCTGTAAGCAAAAAAGCTAAGCAAAAGTGTAAGACCCTGAGTTCAAGTCCCATTACCAGTGCACGCACACAAACATATACAACGCCAAAATACTAAAGAAAAATCAATCTCATCTACACGTTTCCCCATATAACTTTCTTACCGAAAAAAGAGAAGCAGAGAAGTGACATGTCTGCATTTCTAAGCCCCCTCTCTACGCCCTGAATGTATATGGATCCTAAAGAGGCCTGGTTTGAGACTTTCAGTACACCCAGTATTTAAAAAAAAAAAAGATGGATTCTATTTTCAATTATTTATTGTGGTGTAAAATTCTCTAAATTCTTTTGCCAATCAAATCTTCTGTATTAGTTTGATTTCTAGTTTTATTTCTAGAGATGAGGTCTCCAATCTGCCTAATGGTGTTTCTCAACATTTTAGAAAATTACAAATTCTTTTGATGAACTTAAATGCCACACAGTAAAGCAAAAGTCACTACTTACTTCCTACTTAACTCAGTAGTGTAACTAAAGCAAAAGTGAGATTTATATTAGCAAAAAAAGTCTGTGTGTGTGTGTGTGTGTGTGTGTGTGTGTGTGTGTCTGTCTGTCTGTCTGTCTGTCTGTCCTAGGGATGAAACTCAGGGCCTGGGCACTGTGCCTGAGCTTTTATGCTCAAGGATAGCACTCTGCCACTTGAGCCACAGTTCCACTTCCAGCTTTTTAGGTAGTTAATTTAAGAGTCTCACGGACTTTCTTGCCTGAGGTGGGCTTTGAAACACAATCTGCAGATTTCAGCCTCCTGAATAATCAGAGTTATAGGCATGAGCCACTGCCAGATGTGGCTGGGTTTTAAGTTTTCCTAAGGAATTAATTTTAGAAGGAAGTTTTTTTCTGATAACTCCAAATACCTGGTCAATGTTAATAAGTATTCTATATATTGCAAATGACAAAGGAAGTCATCAACAGGTTTAACTTATGTCTTTTACAACTAGTATTAACTTTTAGCCTTCACCACCACTCTCTATCTTAAACTGATAGTTGTTAGAATGTTTAAAAAAAAAAAAAAGCTCAGAAGCTCAGCATTCACAAGTCAATTACTGTTATCAGTTATATGTCATACTGCCCTTCAATAGGGAAAATTTTATTTTCTATGTCACAAGTACTTCCATCTAAACTGAATTTAGTGGGCTTCTGTTTTAGTAGGAAATCATTTGTATTTCATATATGAGAACAAAACAGGATTCCCCAGGGAAAAGAACAATAGAAACAATTGTAAGAAAAAAAATCAAAATATTAAGAGACATAGTTGATGTGGGGCTGATTCTCACTGGACAAAAAAGAAGTTAGGTTATCTAGCTTCAACTAATTCTGTCATATCAATATAATCTCAGAATAAAGATAAAATTCCATAAAACTAAGTTCTCTAAAGAATAAGATAATGACATTGTGGGGGGGGGGCATAACTAGCTTCTAAATGACATTCTAAAATACAAACTCAAGCTGGAACTGATGGCTCATGCCTATAATCCTAGCTACTCAGGAGGCTGAGATCTGAGGACAATGGTTCAAAGCCAACCCATGTAGAAAAGTCTGTGAGACTCTTATCTCCAATAAACCAACTCAGAAAAAGCCAAAAGTGGCATTGTGATTCAAGTGGTGGAGTGATAGCTTTGAGCAACGAAGCAGCTCAGGGACAGAACCCAGGCCCAGAGTTCAAGCTCCGGGGCAAGCAAAAAATATATACAAATTTGTTTATTTTTCAAATTGCATAAAGAACTCTCATTTGCACATACATTTTTATCACCAGGCCTAGTAAGTGAAGCTGAAGAACTATTTCACATCAAGAGTACCAACCAAGCTTTGTGTGCTTTCTAGAAAGAAGAAAAGATGTAGGAGGTAAACAGAGCCCCAGAGGTAACCACGTGATTAGAAACCAATTAAGTTAAGCAATTACTGAAATGGTTCTTTCCTCTGGGCAAAAATGGATTACAAGTGAAAAACTCAGATATGAAAAATGAAAATGCTTACATGCAAAAAGACCAAAGCTGCTTTGGGAAAACACCATTCTGGGTGGGGGGACTATTTCCCTGGTAAAGTGTTGTACAGGGATGTTTGGTGAATATAGAGGATTTATGGTCCATTTGTTTAGCAATGCTAAAATGTTGTTTTTAGATATGTAACATAACATATTTGAATGGTTAAATTTAGTTAGCAGTCACAGTAAAACAGAAAGAACAGAGCTAGTGAGAATAGGGAAGAGAATAATTACTACGGCCTATTGTTTTTTTCTTAAGTGACAAAGTAAGGAATTTAATAGGGAGACAAATGTCAGACCCAACCTAGATGTCTCAAAAACAATAGAAAGTAGCAAGAAGAGAGAAACATTTCTGGCTCCCCATGCAGGATATGGGAATTAAACACTCTTGAGGCCTATTCGTTTTCCAGAGCTATTTCATGTGTCATTACTACATTTCGGAAGAACAAGAAACTATGGTATATTATGCAGAACTATAAATCTCTACCATCCTGTTTCCAACATGTATTTCCTAAATTACCTTAAGAATTAGCCTGATCCAGTTTAGATTTCTTTATGAATATAAAGAAAAGCAAACTAGAAGGGTAAACAAAAGGAGGAGGCTGCAATGCTTGGTAAGAAATGTACGCATTATCCTGCCCATGTAATTGTAACCCCTCTGTACAGTATCTTCACAAATAAAATAAAATAAAATAAAACTTATAAACGTTTTTTAAATAATTTTAAAATACAACTATTCTACTATCCACTTACCTGGTTCATATTTTACCCACAGAACACATTTTTAAAACTTAAATGCACAAATCACAATAAACTTAGGTTTCTTATATATATCAACTATTCGAATAAACCATTCTTTTTTGCGCCTTAATAAATCTGAAAATCTTAACTGTAACCACATATTAACTTAGCTCAATTAACTTAATTGTCTTACTTGTTTAAAAATGCACTAACCTTCTCAAAAACACTGGATGGGGTCATCAAACAAAATCTGATGTTCTGAATGATGGTATCAGTATGTCTCCAGCGCCTTCTATCATGCCGCAGCCAAGACTGCACAGCTTCATACAGCTCGATCTCAGGAAACCTGCTCAGATGATCATTATCCAAATAAGACATGAGCTTTTCAAAGCTCAAATAGGACAAGAAGTCAGGCCTGGACATGAGTGGTACGAAGTTGTCCAGAAGAAAAGTATCCAGCTTCTCCCTGACTCCCTCTATGTTTACACCAAAATCATCTAAGAGCCTCATTATTTCTGCACAGTTTTCCAGGCAGATTTTTGCTAATAGGAAAGAGCAACAAAACTTCACCACTTCTATAAGTTGGACATACATAGCGGCCTGAAGAATCTCATGAACAGTATTCATACTGAGTTCTATAGTCCCATAGTACATAAATTGAAGGACATGGCTGAAACCAGTAGCTGTTAGACCTTTCAAATGAATTTTGTCCTGATCTCGTTCCCTCATGTCTGCAGTAAACATAATTCTGAAGTAATCACTCTGGGTGGCAAGGAGTGCTTTATGGGCCTGGAACTGGTGATCTTCAATAACCAGAGTAACATCAAGAAGCAGGCCCTCCTCATACAGTGCTCTGAACCCAGCAGAGACACTGGAGTCATGGATTGAGGAACAGAAACCTTCCACGTCCCCTGCCATGAATCACCTGGAAAGAAAGTAATGAGAAAATGGCATTAATCATTTCCATGTACGCAAAAGACAGTGTTAAGGGTTTTAATATTTTTCATAATCATCATTGCCTACATCCTAAGTGTCCAAACCATCTGAGAGAAGGCAATTTACAACTTTTCAGAGGATAACAGTATTTGTTTCCTACCTTGGAGAAAGAATCTATTAAAAATATATTTGTCAAACAATGGTAAAATGCTAGCTTACAAATAACAGCAGCATATCCCACTGATTTTACACTGTACATAAAAGATTTAAATAAGTTCCAAAATTAGCAAGATAAAAAGACTTTTACACAAAGGGTGAACAAATGCAGCAGTGGTACTCATTAGACACTATATTGAAAATGAAATACACAACTTGTGGGTGGAACGGGAAGGAAAAATTGGGAGAGAGCAAGGGAAAGGGTGACATTGGCCCAAAAGAAATGTACTCATTACCTGACTTAAGTAACTTACAAAACTGTAAACTCTCTGTATATCACTTTCATAATAATAATAAAAAAGAATTGTACAACCAAATACTGAATTAGGGAAAAAAGACAAAAGAAATTACATCAAAAGGTACATTTGAAAACTTCCACAAATTTCCCTGAAGGAAATAGGTACTTAAAGCAAATTGAACATAAAAAAAATTTTTCTACCATTACTTAAGTCTAGGCACAGTAGTGAGCTCTAGTAGTTTCAAGAACTCAGGAGGCAGAGACAGGAAGGCCGTTTGAGCCCAAGAGTTTGGAGCCAGAATGCTTAACATAGTGAGACTTTCATCATAGCCAAGGTATATAATCAGCCTAGATGTCCCTTGATAAGTGAATGGATCAAGAAAATGTGGCATATATACACAGTGGAATTTTACTCATCAAAGAATGATATTGTACTATTTGGGTTTTTTTTTATTTTTTGGGTCCGGTCGTGGGGCCTAAACTCTGGGCCTGGGCACTGTCCCTCAGCTCTTCAGCTCAAGGCTAGCGCTCTACCACTTGAGCCACAGCGCCACTTCCGGCTTTTTTTTTCTGCTT